CTTCTTTTATAAAAGAATAAATACGGGGTGCCTGGGTGGCTCAGTCGGTTAAGTGTCCGACTTCAGCTCAGGTCATGATCTCACGGTTCATGGGTTCGAGCCCCACCTCGGGCTCTGTGCTGACAACTCAGAGCTTGGAGCCTGCTTCATATTCTGTGTCTCCCTCTCTCTTTGACCCTCCCCTGCTCATGCTGTCTCTATCTCTCTCTCAAAAATAAATAAAATATTTTAAAAAAAGAATAAATACAATATTTATTTCTACAAGTCCCACACACAGTCTCAAATGCAAGCTGCCCTGTTCTCTACAGGAGTAGCAAGGAGGGTCTTTTGTCTGCTAGCATCTTGGAGATGCCTTCTAGCTCTTGGTAACCACGATGCAAAGACAGCAGCAAAGCCAGTAAGTCAGCCCCCAAGACTATTCAGAGTTCTGGGGTAATTTATAATACACTTGCAAACAACTAATACATATTTTATCACGAGTGAGGTGCTTCTATAACAGAAACCAGAATGTTGGAGTGGCTTTGGAACTGGGCAGTGGAAGAAGTTGGAAGGATTTGGGACAGAGTGTGAGCAAAAGCCCTTAAAGACTTGAAGAATCTGTGAGTACAATCCTGATGGCTTTTGAGAAGGCTGTAGATGAAGGCTTAAGGGGGAAATTAGGAAAATGTTATTGAAAACTGGAGGAAAGGGGTCCTTGTAACATGGCGGCAGGAAGTTTAGCAACACTGTCACCTGTAAGGATGGGAAAAGTACAAAATGTGTCTTATTAATTGAGTGTTCTAGCTTAGTATATTTCCAGGTAGAGTGTTGAAGGTGCTGACTGATGTCTTCTTCCTTATTACAGCAAAATGTGAGATGGAGAAAGTCGAAAGAAGGACTAAAAAAGAAATCCAGAACTTGCTAGACTAGAAAATTCCAATCTTCTCTAGATGATGAAGAATGCTAAAATGAAGAAATGGTTTCCAGTCAAAAATAAACTCTAGGATACTGCAAGGGGCACATCACCAAATGATGGATTTGACAGTGTGGCTATAAAGCCTTTTATTCGACCTCAAAAAGGTCTACAGCAGTGACTCAGAGAAAATCTTTCAAACAACAGGGATTCAAGGAAGCTGATGAGTATTGTGCCTCCACAGTTTTAGCAAAAGAACTCTCTGGAGGAAAGAAGGGCTTATCCCGAAGAGATTTGTGGGAATGGGTATAGCTTCTGTCCAATGGAGTGGTGCCTCAATTACATTCATAGGAGACTCACACATTTTAAAAGAGTCATTATTAAGGGGTGCCTGAGCAGCTCAGTCAGTTAAACCTCCGACTTCGGCTCAGGTCATGATCTCATGGTTCGTGTGTTCGATCCCTGCTCTGTGCTGACTGCCAGCTCAGAGCCTAGAGCCTGTTTCGGATTCTGTGTCTTCCTCTCTCTCTGACCTTCCCCTGATCTCGCTGTCTCTCTCTCTCTTTCTTAGAAATAAATAAAACGTTAAAATCTTTTAAAGAGTTATATTAAGAAACACTGCCAGCATGGACTAAGGGGGGGCAGAGATAGTACAAAATGAAAAGGGGTCTTGCGACCCCCTAAATTCTACTGGTAGGAACCAGACTGATAAATCATGTAGCTGCAGACAGGGGCTACTTTTCATAGAAAAGGAAGGATGACTCAGAAAGTGGAATCAAGGGACCACCGGGTAAAGTCAAAAACCATAGAGAGCCATTCCCTGGCATAAGTAAGAATGAGCTCTAATCAAAGAAGTTCTAACATGTGTCCAATTGGGTTACAGGATTGCTGTGGACCAGTGACTCCTTTGTGTCTCCTGTCTTTTCTCTTTTGAACAGGAGTGTCCATACCAGTTACCCTAAGCCAGTCCCGCCATCATAAATTGGCAGTGTGCAGAAACATAATTATTCAGATGAAGGGGAACTATACTTGAGGAACTGCATTTAAAGCACTAGAAGCTTCCTCTGTAGCTGAGCCTGATATAAATGATAAAATTCTGGACTTCGAGTTGGTGATGTAATGGGTTGAGACTTTTGGTCCCCTTGGGAAGAAGTGAATGTGTATTGCATTTGGGAGAGATGTGAGTCCTTAGGGGTCCAAGGGTAGAATATGGTAGCTAGCATCAAAAATGACTCAAAGATCCTGACTTTTTGATATTCATGCCCTCGTGTAGAATCCTCCCACAATGAATAGGGCTGATCTCTGTAACTAACAGGCTATGTTGGAAATGATGACATGTGACTTCTGAGCTTAGGCCGTAAAAGACATTCTATCTTCTACCTTGCCCTCTCTTGAATCACTTGCTTTGGGAGAATTCAACTGCCATGTCATACGGATACTCAAACAGCCCAATTGAAAGTGGTAAGGCCTCCTGCCAACAGCTGAGTAAGTGAGCTCTCTTGGAAGCAAATCTTAACATTTCTAGTCAAGCCTTTAAGTGCCTATAGCCCCGGGCAACATCTTCACTGAAATCTCTTAGAAGATTGTGAGTTAGACCACCTTGCTAACCAACTCCCATATTCCTAGCTCACAGTAATAGTAGGAAATCATAAATGTTTACTGTTTTAAGCTGATACTTTTTGAGGTAATTTTCTATGCGAAAACAGATTAATGTAACAAAGTTTCTATCTCCGGATGCTCCCAAAGATTCCTGGGGAATCAGACCATTCTGATTACTTGTGCAGAGGGGGACAGAAGGTCCGTCTCATGGAGTCTACCACACCTCATTACCAGAACCTTATTTGAGTCCCTTTTTAACAGTTCCATCAACTTATGCCTCTAAGATCCTCTTATCATAGAGGGTTCAAAGAAAGATTATGAAATGTTAGATCCTGAGCTGCACAGTATGATCTTTTAACTTTCCTTCAAAGTGAAGAAGAAACATGGGGCGCCTGGGTGGCTTAGTCGGTTAAGCGTCCGACCTTCGCTTGGGTCATGGTCTCGCGGTTCGTGGGTTCGAGCCCCGCGTCAGGCTCTGTGCTGACAGCCTGCTCGGAGCCTGGAGCCTGTTTCAGTCTGTGACTCCCTCTCTCTCTGACCCTCCCCTGCTCACGCTGTCTCTCTCTCTCTCTCCTAGAAATAAATAAAAAACATTTAAAAAAAAAAAAAAAAACAAAGTGAAGAAGAAACAAAAACAGTAATAATGACAACAAAAGACACACATCCCTCCCCACCAAAGACCTTGGACACAGAAATGTTCTCTTAATACATTAAAAAATTGTTTTCACTGAAAAAAATATTTTCTAACTGTGATAACATGATGTTTGTATAGGCTGTTATTTCTTTTAAGCCTGGGGTGGTGGAAATAAACAAGCAGGAATCTCTATTCCCTAGGTATACTAATGTTGATATTTGAGTTGACATTTGTTGAATTTTTTTTTCAGAATGATGCATCAATCCCTGTTTCAAATGCAGACACAGAAATAACTTTCAAGGAAATGAACTGGAGAAAGTAGAAGTGTGTATGGAACTGGAATAAAACAAACCTTCTGATCCCCCCTCCCCCACTGCCCCAAGATTCCATACAATTACTTCGAGGTTAAAAAAACAAAAGGTTTCAAAATTATAAATCTTGGACAAAAGCTGCATGCAGATTAAGCATACATTACATATGGGAAGGCATTAAAAATGCTTTTAAATGATTTTTACTCCTCCCTCCCCCAATGCCGTGGCATTTTTCTGAAACTCCAATGGAAATCCCAGCTCAAAATTATCGAAGTGAATCAATGGAAAACAAACATCATTCCATTCCTCTCCATTCTGCTCAACCACACCTCAGCCTCTCTCCCTGGACTAGATCAGTGTATCTTTTTCCTCTCCTACATACAAAACAAAAGCTCTTCTAGGAATGGAGACACTTAGATTTGGGGGAGAAGTGAGGGGATGATTATACTGCCAGCAGCCAACCAATAATGCCTAATGTATTAAAAATATGGTTAAAACTCCCTTCAACTATATATAATTTGAGCCAATAATAATAGTTAAAATGTAGTGAATACCTCTACAAGGCAGGCACCTTATGTTTCATCCACGAAGGAGCCCCAACAGGTAGATATTACCGTTATTTCCACTTGACATATATTTTTAAAAAGTGGAAAACAGAATGATCAATTAACTTCTCCATGGTCACAAAGCCAATAAGTTGTACTGAGACTTGGGAGCCCTTCGGCAGTGGGTCTTCAAAAACCAGCTTTTAAAATGACACAAAAAGATCTGGCCCAATTCTTGGCACTGTAGTACCGGTTAATAAATAACAGTCCCTTTCATTTCTCTTGGATCCCCATCTGGGTCTGGGCGGTCTCCTTACATCAAGCAAAATGACTGCACACTGAAACTCTCGCTGGACAAATCCTCTCTTCCCACTTGCTTCACCTGACATCTCAGCCAAACCCTAGGCGAGCGCTCAGAAAAAAAAAAAGGCATTCAGGTTGCCACCCTTGAGATTCTGAGCCCCTAAGAAGCAGGAATGCAAATAAGGCTTTGCAAATAGACAAAGTACAGTATTGCTTTGGATCGAAAATGTCTGTTTGCCCAGTCTGACTCTGAAATTCCCTGAGCCTAAGAGAACAAACACAACCCTTCCGGGGACCCTCATAAAACCCCGATGGGTCAGGTTCGCTCTGGTAAACAACACTGAGTCCCAGCACCTTGCGGAACGCGAGCGGTGGGGACTGGGACGGGCGGCGACCACCTGAAAGGACAGAGAGTGCAATACCCACGTACACCTGCCTAGCGGCCTTGGAAAGTCAGGCGGACACCTCCAGGGAGGGACCCTGGGAGGCGGGGCCCGATTCCCGCCTCAGGGGCGAGGAGGGGACCTCCTCCACCCTCCCCTCCATCCGGGGCTGCCGAGCCGCCCCCACAGACCGCGGAAAAGGGCCCTTGCCACTTTAAATGACTCAGGAAGTGAAAGGAGACCGCTGACGGGGAAAGGGAAAGCAGAACCGGGGCGTCGGGGCTGGCGGCGCGGCGATCTCGCCCCGGAGAGCGCGAGGCAGGAAGGCGCGCGGCGCGGGGGCCGACGGGGGCGCGGGGCCGCCGCGCCGGAAGTGCCCGCGCCGCGGGAGGAAGCGCAGCTGGCGCCGAGCGGCAGAGCCGGCAGGAAGGCCCCCTCGCTCCTACGCCGGGCGGGAGCGGGTGGCCGCGGCGCCGCGGCCCCAGGCCTGCCCGGAGTCGCGGCGCGGCCGGTTCCTGGGACGCGACCCCTGCGGGAAGGAGGACGGGGAGGAGGCCCCGCGGCGAGCTCGGAGGCCCAGCGGCCTGGTCCGCGTCACCGCAGCCACATGGCCTCCGGAGTGGGCGCGGCCTTCGAGGAGCTGCCGCACGACGGCACGTGTGACGAGTGCGAGCCGGACGAGGCTCCCGGTGCCGAGGAAGTGTGCCGGGAGTGCGCCTTCTGCTACTGCCACCGCCACGCCGAGGCGCACAGGCAGAAGTTCCCCAGCCACCGCCTGGCCCAGTACGTCCACGGCGCCGCCCCGGCCTGGACCGCGGACGCCCCGGCGCAGGGCGACGCGACGGAAGACGCGCAGGCCAAGGTGGAGAATGAGAGGGATGTAGAGAGCGAGGTGGGGGAGGAGAGCGAGTCCGAGGAAGACAGTGAATCCGAAGAAGAGAGTGAGACGGAGGAAGAGAGTGAGGACGAGAGCGATGAAGACAGTGAAGACGACAGCGAGGAAGAGATGGAGGATGAGCAAGAGAGCGAAGCAGAGGAAGACAACCAAGAAGGAGAATCTGAGGCCGAGGGCGAAACGGAAGCAGAAAGCGAATTTGACCCAGAAATAGAAATGGAAGCGGAGAGAGTGGCCAAGAGGAAGTGTCCGGACCACGGGCTCGATTTGAGCACCTATTGCCAGGAAGATAAGCAGCTCATCTGTGTCCTGTGCCCGGTCATTGGGACTCACCAGGGCCACCAGCTCTCCACCCTAGACGAAGCCTTCGAGGAACTAAGAGTAAGTAGTGGGCGTCGAGAGCATAGGTCTAGAGGTCAGGACACCTGGGTTTCAAACTCAGGTGGCCCGGTTGTGGCCACGTTCGCTTTTACCGTGACCCTAAGAAGCCAGTCTGTGCACTTGTTGGGAGCAGTGCTTATTCCCCCTTTCTGGTTGAACTCCTTTGAGAATCAATGAAAGTTCTGGACTCTGACCCAAGGGAAATAAATGTATGCACAAAGCCTAGTGTACGCTTTTCTCTGGAAAGTTGCAAGCCTCTGGTCCCTGGATCCCAGGTAAAGCATTCCTTGGGAGTTTTGACCCCATGGAAGCCAGTTCCCACATCACCATTGTTGAGCGTGGTAAGGCGGTCTCTTTGCCTGCTTGAAAACATGGGAAACCGTGGTTGGTTCGGCCAGATGAATCCAGATAGTTCCTCTGTAAGAAGTGAGGAGACCCCCTGAGATCCTATTATCACCCCCCTCCCCCAAGTTTCCTTAGGTTCTTCGTGTGTGATACTTATTTGGAAAGGAAGATGAGAGGTTGGAGGTGAACTTGGAATGCAAGTGGGAGCCCCTGTGTGCTCCAGCTTGGCAGGAGGGCAGGACCTTATCTATTTTGGACCTTGCTGGTCCCCTGGACCTGTTTGGAAAGTAGTAGACATTAATCAGTATTTGTTGGGCCATCGGATTTGCAAGCAATTTGCCTTTTGTTTATATTGTGGATATTTACGACCAGTGAGAGAAATTGCTGGAGTTAACTAGGGACGAAACCGAACGATCAGTGTATTAGCGAATGCTGTCATATTATGACGACTCTTGTTTCCCTAAGCAACCTTGTAACTGCTGGCAGTGGAATAACAAATACTTGGCTAATTAAAATCTCTTTTATTGAGATTTTTCTCTTTTTTATTGTAAAATACACAGTGTGTAAAAACATGCACAGTCTAACAAATAATTAGAAAGCAAACTCAGATGTAACCTCTACCTGCATGAAGACATAGAATATTAGTAGCAAAATTGAAGCCCTGTGTCCTTCCCAGTTATAACCATTTCCCTTCCCCGGTAACCATTATCCCGACTTCTAGCGTGGTATTTCCTTGCTTATCTACGTATACACATGCATTCTTAAAAAAAAAAAATTTTTTTTAAATATTTATTTATTTTTGAGAGAGAGCTCGAGCGTGAGCAGGGTAGGACTCAGAATCTGAGGTAGGCTTCTGGCTCCCGGCTGGCAGCACAGAGCCTGATGCAGTACTCGAACCCACAAATCTCAAGATCATGATCTGAGCTGAAGTTGGACGCTCAACCAACTGAGCCACCCAGGTGCCCAGATGTTCACACACATTCTTAAACTTACTTGAACTTGACACAATTGATACCATTTTGTTATCGTGCTTTCTTTTGAGTTTTGCTTCATTTTTTCCAACACTGTGTTTCTGAGGTTTATCCCGTGGGTGGCTGTGGTTTGTTCGTTTTCATGGTTGTGTAGAATTCCATTTTCTGACTGTGCCGCAAGTTACCTGTTGTATCAGTGATGAAAATTTGACTTACAGATTCTGGAGTTCCTGCCTGTCATAAACAGTGTTGGTATCGACATTCTTGTGCCGGTCTCCTGGTGCATATCTACATACATTTAAATGGGGTATAAAACCTAGGAGTGAGAGTGTCGGGTCACAGACTGTACATATCTTAAATAACACCACGTGTTTCCAGTTACTTTCCAAAGTGGTTGTGCCAGTCTGCATTGCCAGGAAGAGTATATGAAGAGTTCTGTTGTTCCATATCTTCAGCACTTGTTACTTCAAGAATTTAGAATTTTTGTCAATTTTGTCGCTATGTGGTAGTATCTTCTTGTGGTTTAAATTTGCATTCCTTTTAGTTACTGGGGACTTTGCATATCTTTTGTGTTTCTCCTTTGGCAAAATGCCCATTCAGTTTTTTTGTTCATATTTTTATTAGGTTGTCTTTTTCTCATTAACTTAAAGAAGTTTTTGTATATTTCTTTAACTTCTTTGTTTATACGGGTTGCGAAGGTCTTCTGCTCTGTTTTTTCAATTATGTCTTGAGTAGAAGTTATTCACTTTAATGTAGAATTTATCAATAATTGCCTTTTATTGTTAGTGCTTTTTGTGTCTTATTTCACTTAATATTGATTTTTTTTTTAAATATTTTTATTTATTTCTAGGAGAGAGAGAGAGAGAGACAGCGTGAGCAGGGGAGGGTCAGAGAGAGGGTGTCACAGACCGAAACAGGCTCCAGGTTCTGAGCTGGCAGTCAGCACAGAGCCCGACGCGGGGCTCGAACCCACAAACCGCGAGATCATGACCCAAGCGAAAGTCGGACGCCTAACCGACTAAGCCACCCAGGCGCCCCACTTAATATTGATTTTTGTGTGGTGGACATAGGGACTCAATTTCATTTTTTCCCCATACAGGTAGCCAATTGCTGTAGCAGCATTTACTGAAAAGCCTGTCTTTTCTACACGCATTTGCTGTGGTGCCTGTCTTGTATGCGTGTGAATGTGCTTCTTGGGTCTTCTGTTCTGTACCATCGATCTATTAGTGTATCCCTATGTGAAAAACATGTTTTCTTAGTTATCATAGCTTTGTAACAGGACTTAATATCTGGTAGAGCGAGTCCTTCCACTTTGTTCTTATGGAAGGGTGTCTCAGCCAGTCTTGGCCTTTTATTTTACACTTCTTAGAAGCAAACTGTAGCCTGCAGGACATTTTGTATTGCATTGAGTTTATAAAGCAATATATGGAGAAGTAACACAATTACAATATAAAGTCTTCTGAAATGTTTATTTTGGTCTAAATTGCTTCATGACAAAGTTGTATAGTGTTTTTTTTTTCCTGAAAGATCTTATACCTCATTGTGAAACTTATTCCTCAATACTTACAACTTCATAGTATTGTAAAAAATTAAAATATTTTTTAATGTTTATTTAATTTTGAGAGAGAGAGAGACAGAGCAGTAGTGGAGGACAGGCAGAGAGAGAGAGACACTGACACACACACACAACAAAACAGGCTCTAAGCTCCGAGTGTCACCACAGAGCCCTCGATGGGACTGGAACCCACGAACTGTGAGATCCTGAGCCGAAGTTGGATGCTTAACCAACTGAGGCAACCCCCAGATTTTTTCTAACTATATATAGGAATATGATTAACTTTTAAGTATTGATTTTTGTGTTAAAATGTCTGTTATATTCTCTTAAATATTCTAAAAATTAGTACGTAGATTCATTCTACATACATGACCATATTATTTGCAGAGAGGGACAGTTTTTGTTTCTTTTCAATCCCTCTTTGTGTTGTGTTTTACTCGCCTACTGCTTCAGATAGGACCTCCAATATATTGTTGAATATAGGCAGTAGTAGGTATTGTGGCCTTGTTCTAATTGATGAATAATTTACAACATTTCACAAATAAGTATGATAATATATGTCACAGTTATAGTTCATCAGATTAATAAAGTTCCCTTTTAATCCTAGTTTAAGAGTTCTTCTTAATATTGAATGGATACTGAATTTTGTCAGATGGTTTTCCTGCATCTATTAGGATGTTCATATGATCTTACTTTTTTACTATGTTGATGTGGTGAATTATATGAATTGATTTTTTTCAATTAAACTTAAAAATCGGTAATATATTCACATGTCTCAAAAGTCTTTTATTCACTGTTGTACTTTTCATGTGCCCCCCCCGCCCCAACTATTGATAACCACTTCTTTTTTTTTTTTAAATTTTTTTTAATGTTTTATTTATTTCTAGGAGAGAGAGAGACAGTGTGAGCAGGGGAGGGTCAGAGAGAGAGGGAGTCACAGACTGAAACAGGCTCCAGGCTCTGAGCTGGCAGTCAGCACAGAGCCTGACGCGGGGCCCGAACCCACGAACCGCGAGATCATGACCTAAGCGAAAGTCGGACGCTTAACCGACTAAGCCACCCAGGCGCCCCTGATAACCACTTCTTACTTACCTTTCAAATGTTTCTTCTTGTATTTGTACACAAAAACACAGGGGTGGTCATGTATATGGTCTTATTTCCATCCTTTCATGTCATTATTATTATATTTTACAATTAAAGCAACTTTGCATTTGTGGGATAAACACAACTTGGTCGTGATGAAATATCTTTATGTTTTTAAATTTAATTTATTAATAACTTATGTAGGATTTTTTTCATTTATATTTATGGGAGAAATTAGCTTGTAAAATTTTTTTGTACTGTCCTTATGAGATTTTGCTATCAAAGTTATGTTGGCTTCATAGTATGAGTCCGAGTGTATTGCTCCTCACATATTTTCTCCTGTATGCACTGGAAGTATTTGTATAAGATTGGTATATTTCTTTCTAGAATGATTGCTAGAACTGACCATGGAAGCCATCTGGACCTGAATACAGAGAATTTTGTTACTTTGCTTTCTGTAGTATTTTTGATTATGGATTCAATTTCTTTAGTGGTTACGGGTCTGTACAAGTTGTCTATTTTTCCTTAGGTCAATTTTGAAAAGTTAAATTTTCCCAGAAGTTTGTCCATTTTGTCTAACTTTCCAGTGTATTAATATAAATTTATGAATCTTATGTTCTTATTATCTTTCTTCATATTGTAGCTATTCTCTTTATTCCTTTGAGAACAGTAAACATGTTGGTCATAATGTGTCTTTGATTATTCTAATATGTGAAGACTTTGTGGATCCAGTGTGTGAACACTTTGATAGTGTTTTTCATGTTTATTTCCTTTTGTGTTTTGTTACATATGCATAGCTTCTCAGTGCCTTTGAAAAAATTATTTGTGGGGATTTCCCAAGCTTTGGCATGAAGCTGTATTCTTCGAAAGAGGATTTGAATTTGCTTGTGCAAAGGCCTGAGAGTACAATTTGTTTAGAACCCCCTTAAACTAAATTAATTGCTTAAGATTTATTGGACCAAATTTTCAGGAGGTACCTGCCCACGTTTACAACTTCTTAAAGATTCTACTTTCATCCATCCCCGCAGCTCCTCACCCCCCTTTGT